CCCCAAAACCCCAAAACCCCAAAACCCCGTGATTATTTTTCTGTAAAAATTTTATGAACTATTAAAAATTTAATAGAAAATATAATCATTAGACAATATCTCTATTACTGATTTCAGCTTTTCAATATGGATTAAAGAGAATCATAACAGAACGTTTTAAGTATGCTTTAAAACTATTATTATTTATAACAATAGCATTGCCCTTAGAGCCAGAGCATCCAGTATTTAACACTCTTTCTGAATCTAGCTTACCACCTTTGCAAGCCTATTACTACAATAACCCAGGTAATTAAGTGATTTTAAAGTAATTCACCAGATCGGGGAGTGTAAAAAACATCAGCTAAAGCCAAGGATAGAAAGGTTTTTGATGGTTGGAATAATCTTAGTGATTTCGAGATTCTCTCGCTATAAAAATTGAGAGATGCAATAGATAATGATCCTAGAATGAAGGACATTGTTCCAAGTAATTTCCCAGAAAGAGATTACCTGAGATTTGTTCAAGCCTACAAATTCGACATCAAGAAAACGGTTAGCGCATTACAAGCACATTTTACATGGAGAATTAGTTATTTACCTTGCAAACTAACCTAAAATGCTATTAAACTCATTGTAAACTATTCATTTTTGATGTTTTTATAGAATACCGGATTTTATTATTTACATGGCAGAGATAGAAAACTGAGGCCCACGTTTATATTGGATTCCTATATTATGTAGTAACAAATATAAAGATAGCCTGAAGTGGCAACAATAGAAAATTTATAACGAGCTTTAATATTTATGATGGAATATGCTAAAGAACATATGTATCTACCAGGTCATGTGGAGAATTGGAATATCATTCATAACGTAAATGGATTGAGTATCGGTGATCTACCAAGAAAAGAGTTGACTGGAGTAATGCAGGCAGTCACTGATAATTACATGTATGTACTCCACAAAGCTTGGGCGGTCAACTGCACAAAATTTTAAGTTATGTGTTGGAAGGTATTCGAGGTATTTGTGGACAAGGAGACAGCTGAGAAAATTCAATTCTTCAGAGAGGGGAATCCAGCAGACATAGTCTAATCTTTCCACCCAAGTCAGCTTGAGAAGAGATTCGGAGGACAAGCAGAATCCCCAAAAGTTTTCTGGCCACCGCACTTTACTTCTAATGAATTCGGGGAAGATCCTACTACACAATTCACTCCAGAAGAGAGATAAAAGATAGAGGAAGAAAACCCTGATCTAGTTAGAATTCCAAGTAGACTATTGGAATAGAATAAAACTCCTTAGAAATTGACAACGATGATGGATGATAATGGATCAGATGTTGGAGATGAACATTTAAATAGTGTTGGAAAGAGATAGAATATAAATTGTACCTCATTCAAGATAGATGTGGATACTAGAAAAGACAATAATAATGATAGAAATCAGACAGAATCACAAGGGGCAAACTTGAATGATATTCGACTAAGCTTCAAAGAATTTAATACTAGAATTCCACAAGGATCGTATCATATCCTACATCTGAATCCTGCTATGGTATCGGTTCACTCATCTAAAGTATTTAAAGTTGATGAGCTTCTCGGAGTAAGACAATAGAACTCATAAGAGACCCCTTAAAATTCCAGTAGTAATAGAAGTGGGGTAGACCCTACTCCCAGGGAAAGATTCAGAAAAAATCTTCCGCCCATTAGAGCTTAAACCATGGGTGAAGATCTTAAGTAATAAGAAATGAGATTATTCTAATAGAAGCCAATTACATTAATCAATGATTCAGCCAAGAAAATAACTGTTATTGAAGAGGAAAAGATTAAAATAGATAGCACTTAAACAACAAACGAAATTGCAAATAGCAGTGAAATAAACCCCAGAAGTAAGGGAATATAATCTGGCGAGAAAAAGCAAGGAAATGCCGCTTGCTGCTGTCTAATATTTTGATGTCAATTTTAATATTACTAACCATTTTCTACCTAACCAACTTAAATAAAATAAAAATCCATTTTAGTTAAATCAAACTAAATAAAATTAGCTTTTTGTTTGGAAATCAAAGGATACTGGGGTTTTGGGGTTTTGGGGTTTTGGGG